CCTCCATCACTTGAGGATTAACCATCCGAAATTCCCAAGCAAATTATGTCCAGATACAAATTGAATGATAGGAGGACATTAAGAACAACACCAAAAGTGACATGGCTTTTGTTTTTGCTTTACAATTAGAAATTATAACAACAAAAACAAAATCAAATTACGTGATTGACGAGATCACGTCTGCTCACTTGAATATCGTACGTGATCAATGGGCCAGTGACAATCGTTGTTGTTGCCGTTTTGCGCAAACAAAGAAGATGGGAGGTGGTTGTGGGTTTTGTGGGTGGGTAGGCAGGTTGTTCGGTAGATATCTTCCATGTTATTGCAGCCAACCAGGCAATAAGCGAGCCAGTCAGTCAGCTATTGATCGATTCGCTGGTGGCTACGTATTGCGCATGCACAAGTAGGCCTAACTGATTATTGTGTAAAAATGTAATATATATTTATGAATCGACAGAATCTGTTAAGCTGTAATTTATGTCCAGCCATTAAGTCATTTAGATGGCAAACGTATCGAATCGATTCGCAGACAAAGAGAATAAGGATAGGAGATGATAATAAAATTGTAATGTTTACAAAAATGTACCAAAAGGTACATTTTTTAGATTTTAAAGATTTTAAAGATTTTAAAGATATTTTGCAAGGAACATAACATTTTTCAGAATATTTTTCAGTGACAATCAAGGGCGTGGAATTAATATTTTTTTTGAAGAACCAACTTGAAAGAACTAAAAATAGGCATGGATTTTTTAAATTTTTTTTTAAGGACATGAAATGGGCATACATTTTTATACCCTTCACTATTCTGTGGTACAGGGTATTATGTCATTGTGCATATGTTTGTAACAGGCAAAAGGAAACGAGATAGACACATGGTTCCTTTTGAGAATATGCATAGAATCACTTTCTGAGTCGATTTATGCATGTCCGTCCGTGCGTCCGTCTGTCTGTCGATGTTAAATTGTAAACAAAGTACAGGTCGCATTTATAATCCGAATTGGGTGAAATTTGGCATAGGTCACTTATTTTTGTCCAAGGACGAACCCTATTGAAATTGGGAAAATCGGTTCAGATTAAGATATAGCTCCCATATATATTATCGTCCGATTTAATGTAAACGGTCCCTATATATATATTTCGATTTGCATGAAATCTGGCACATCGTAATGAATTAGGTCTAGAATGATGTGTGTTAAGTTTCGTGACAATCGGTTCAGATTTGGCTATAGCTCCCATATATATTTTCGTCCGATTTAAGGTAAATGGTGTACCAACGTGCCTATATATCTTTCGATTTGCACGAAATTTGGCACAGCGTAATGAATTAGGTCTAGAATGATGTGTGTCAAGTTTCCTGAAAATCGGTTCCGATTTGGATATAGCTCCCATATATATTTTCGTCCGATTTAATGTAAATGGTGTACCATAGTGCCTATATATCTTTCGATTTGCACGAAATTTGGCACAGCGTAATGAACTAGGTCTAGAATGATGTGTGTTAAGTTTCGTGACAATCGGTTCAGATTTGGTTATAGCTCCCATATATATTTTCGTCCGATTTAAGGTAAATGTTGTACCAAAGTCCCTATATATCCTTCGATTTGTACGAAATTTGGCACAGCGTAATGAATTAGGTCTAGAATGATGTGTGTTAAGTTTCGTGAAAATCCGTTCAGATTTGGATATAGCTCCCATATATATTTTCGTCCGATTTACGGTAAATGGTGTACCAATGTGCCTATATATCTTTCGATTTGCACGAAATTTGGCACAGCGTAATGAATTAGGTCTAGAATGATGTGTTTCAAGTTTTCTGAAAATCAGTTCCGATTTGAATATAGCTCCCATATATATTTTCGTCGATTTAAAGTAAAAGGTGTACCAAAGTCTCTATATATACTTCGAGGTAAATAGTGCACCCATGTTCCTTCATATGCTTCGATTTGCACAAAATTTGGCTTAGCGTACTAAATTGATAGAATGAGTTTCGGGAAAATCGGTTTAGATTTCGCCATATCTCCCATATATATTTTCGTCCGATTTTATGTAAATGGTGCACCAAGGTCCCTACATATATATATCCACTCTTCTAAACTTCTAACGGTTTTTAATCAAGGACAAAAAATTTGTTGACAACTGTCATATTTTAGATGTGACTGCATAAAATCCCGTTATTTTTGTTATAAGCAAAGCGACGCTTTGTGTGTGATTGTATGTTGGTGCCTATAGAAAAAATAAAATAGAGTCAACTGAAGAAAAAACTAAAAAATTAAAATGAAAACAGTGAATTCGTGATAAAATATGTTTTAAATGGTAAGTTTGTCTTCCTCTCATATAAATATTTTAGTAACGTGTGTAAAAATAATCAATTAGGTCCAAACAACGAGGAAAGCATTGCGGGAGGCAATAAATAAAATACGTAATGAAGGTAAAAGCTACAGCGAAATTCAAAAATATTTAAATGCTCCAAGAAAATAATGCAGTAAAGTATAAGCCAAAACCAGAAAAAAGGGGAATGAAATCAAAAATTTCAGAGCAAACAAAAAGAAAAATATTGCGCCATGTCAAAAAGGACCCTTTTGTTACATCTTCGGCATTGAAAAAAGAGTATGATTTGAATGTTGATACATCTACAATAAGAAAAATGCTAATTCAAAACGATTTAAAGGCTAAAAGTGCCGGAAAGTTCCGTTCCTCTCAAAACGAAACATAGGAAAAAGGTTGGAGTTCGCAAGGAAACATGTGAATAAGCAGGCGAACAAGTGGCGAAATATTTTGTGGTCAGATGAAATAAAAGTAAATTTGTTTAACTCTGACCGAGTCGTACCTGTTTCCGAAGACTTTCCTAATACCGATTTTCATCCTAAATATACCATTAAAACCGCTAAACATGGTGGAGGAAATGTAATGGTTTGGAACTGTTTTTCCTATATGGTACTGGGCCTATATATAGAATTGAGAATGTTATGGACGCCAATTTGTACACAGAAATTTTAAATGACATTTTTGATGCCTTATGCTGAATGGAATACTTAGATGGGTGTTTCAACAAGACAACGACCCGAAACACACGTCTAAGCGGGATAAAGCCGAAAAAAATGAAGTTTAAAGCTGGCCTGCAAACTTGTGGAGAGAATGAAAATGGCTCATAAAGGAAAGAATCCTTCTAATAAAGATGAGCTGTGGACATTGATCAAAGCTGCGTGGGAGAATATTCCAATAAAGACTTGCCAGGCACTTGTGGACTCTATGCCAAGAATGCTTAGCAGTAATAAAAAATAATGGTCATGCTACTAAGTACTAATCAACAATAAGTGAGAATTAAATTAATTTGTTTCTATTAGTACAGGAATTTTCAAAAAAAGTTACATGACTCTATTTTATTGCACAGCCAAAATTAGTGTTTATGAAGTATTTTTATTTTTATTGTTGTGTTATGTTCTTAATTACCATGTGAATACTGTTATATTTTATGTTTGTACATAAATAAAATATCCAAAAGAAAAAAGTTAACAAAAGTTAAAAAAAAATCGCTGTTGACTCTATTTCATTTCACACCACTGTATACCCTTCGATTTGCACAAAATTTGGCATAGCGTACTGAATTAAGTCTAGAAAGATGTGTATTAATTTTCGTGAAAATCGGTTCAGATTTAGATATTGCTCCCACATAGAGATTATATTTTTAACAACGCGGTGTACCGAATTGCGTGTATCAATTTTGCTATAAATTCCGTTTTCCATAAATTTTCCCCATGTTACTCAGACGGCTCTAAGTCTGCTCGAATGAAATTAAAGTTAGGATAGGTTGGCGAAATAGGGAACATAGACATGCAATTGTTAGGATACATATGTACAATATACCCAAAGTGGTGAAGGGTATCATGTAGTCGGCCCAGTCCGACTTTACTACTTTCCTTACTGGTTTTATAGAAAATTATTTTCAGAAGCAGAATAATAATATAATAATTTTTCAAGTACCAATAGATGGCTTGGATTTTTTAAATATTATTTTATCAAAGACCAATAGATGGCGTGGATTTTTTAAATAATATTTTTTTCAAAGACCAATAGATGGCGTGGATTTTTTTAAATATTTTTTCCGAGTTTTATATAAAGCGTGGATTTTTTAAATATTATTTTCAAGGGCCAAAGGATGGTGTGGATTTTTTTATAGAATATTTTTTTAAGGACCAAAATATGGCGTGGATTTTTCATGGAATATTTTTTCAAAGACCAAAAGATGGCGTGGATTTTTCTAAAAAATATTTTTTTTCAAGTACCAATAGATGGCGTAGATTTTTTAGAAAAATATTTTTCGAGGACTAGCAAAGGCTTGAATTTTTTGAAGAAAATCCTTCAGATACCATCACTGGGGTGGATTTTTTTGAAGAAAATATATTTCAGGGACCCCAATCAGGCGTAAATTTTTAAGCAATATTTTTTTTCAGGAACCTCAACAAGGCATAGATTTTTAGTACAAATGTGTGCGATATTCCATCCCAGCCACATTTCGAATCATTGGTTACAGCTACTTACATTATTGGCCATTAACATGATATCAAAGTGTGAGAGAGAGGCCTGGGGGAGGTGGATAGTGATGTACAACTATCAAGCCAACAAAAAAACAATAACAACAAAACGATGACGTTTTTAGCCATTGTGCGATGATGTGTACAAAGAAACAGACAACACAACAAATTCTTATGTTTAAGGCCGGCTATGCTTGAGTGAATTGTGAATTATTGTCACAGAGACCACACATTCACGCACCAGTCACATACACACACACGGACTCACACACAGGCAGACGCTCATATCACTTAAGAAGAAGACAAGAATATGGCAGAACAACAAAATAAATTTATAAAATAGTCTGAACTTCACAACAAATGGAATATTCTTTGATCGCCCACGCTAGAGGGTACACGCGTATTACGGAACTTGTCGGGAAAATAAATCACAACAAAATAACAAAATAAAAAAAAAGATTTAAAAAAATGAGAACTTTACAATTAAGTGTGATTATCCTTGTCATGGCCGCGGTTGTTGTTAATGCCCAGGATAAGTGGGTATGGTCGAAGGGTAAACATCAAAAAGCGGCCGGCTATTATCCCTCCGCCAGTAAAAAAGTTTACTATACTGAGGAGGGAGAGTCGGAGAACTATGCCCGCCGTGATCGCGAACCGACCACAAGGAAACCTTTACCCGGTGAGCTGCCCAATGATGACATTGATGATTATGCGGATGATAGTGAGACACCGCCCACCAAACAAAATAATCCCTATCCCACAGGAGGAGGTGGTGGTGGTGGTGTGGGCCCCTTACAACCTGGTTTTGGTGTACAACCCGGCTTTGGTGTACAACCTGGGTTTGGTGTGCCACCCAATCCAATTGGAGGCGGTGGAAGTTTTAATAGATTTCCACAATTTGGTGGTGGTTCAGCGAATTTCCCTGGTATTTTAGTGGGCCCTGGAGGACCAACCGGTGTCATTGGACGTCCCCAAACACAATTTCCTCAGCAACCCGGTTTTTCTGGTTTTCCTGGTTATAATACACAGAATTTTGTGGGTGCTGGAAATCCTGGTTATAATCCACAATATTTGGGACAACAGCAACCTGGATTTGCAGGAGCGTATCCTCAACAACAATTTGGTGCAGTAGCACCGCCACCACCACAACAACAATATCCACAATTTACCGAAGGTTATGGCTTGTTGGGTTACAATCAGGCACCCAATGGATTTGGTGGACCAAATCCACTTGGTTTTAATGGTGGTGGATTTCCTCCCAATTATCCTGGCGGTAATGGTTATCCCAACTATGATGAATACTCGGGAAAAAGTGCCAATGTCAAGGCCAGTAGTGGTGCCGCGGGGGCTGATAAAAAAATCGATGATAAAGTAAATAAAAATCTGAAACGTCTTTAGAGACACACGAACACATTCACACACATACACACACACTTCGTTGTATTTTATCACATTCCATTTTTTTAAGTTTAAGTTTTCTTTATAAGATTTTTTTCTGTGTTGAAAAAAAAAACAACAAAAAATAATATTTAATTTTTGTAAGCTTTACATTTGTTATTAATTCCTGTTGCATATTTGTTCTTCATTTTCGTATTTTTTTTGTAATGCCCACTTACTTACCTATTGTTGTAATAACAATTATCGAATAAAACAATGATCCAGCGAATGTCCATTGTGTCGTATTGATATTGTCATCGCCATCCCAGCCATCACTCTTCATGGCTGTCAATATTTGCTTTTCGAATATCATCAGCTTGCTTTCAATGGAGGTCTTCCATTCGGTTTCCTGCAGGAAGGTTTGATTCTCCGAATGGGTCCAAATGATCTCCGTTAAATTGTTGCGCATTTTGTGAATGCCCGTTTTGACCTGGAAATAAAAAACAATGTTGTTCGAAAAAATAATTTTTCAAAGACGAAATTTAAACCGGTAGATTTTTTAAAGAATGTTTTTTTAAGGACCAACAATAGGAGAGGTTTTTTAAGAATATTAATTTAAAACCCAAAAGAATAGTTTTTCAAAACCCAATGGGGGGATATTTAAAAGAATAATTTTTTCATGGACCTACACAAGGCGTGGAATTTTAAAGAATATTTTTTAAGGACATACAGAAGGAGAGGGTTTTTAAAAGAATATTTTTTCAAGGTCCTAAACAAGGCGTGGATTTTTTAAAGAATATTTTTTCAAGGACCTAAACAAGGCGTGGATTTTTTAAAGAATATTTTTTCAAGGACCTAAACAAGGCGTGGATTTTTTAAAGAATATTTTTTCAAGGACCTAAACAAGGCGTGGATTTTTTTAAAGAATATTTTTTCAAGGACCTAAACAAGGCGTGGATTTTTTAAAGAATATTTTTTCAAGGACCTAAACAAGGCGTGGATTTTTTAAAGAATATTTTTTCAAGGACCTAAACAAGTCGTGGATTTTTTAAAGAATATTTTTTCAAGGACCTAAACAAGGCGTGGATTTTTTAAAGAATATTTTTTCAAGGACCTAAACAAGTCGTGGATTTTTTAAAGAATATATTTTCAAGGACCTAAACAAGGCGTGGATTTTTTAAGAATATTTTTTCAAGGACCTAAAACAAGGCGTGGATTTTTTAAAGAATATATTTTCAAGGACCTAAACAGGGCGTGGATTTTTTAAAGATTTGCGAATCTGCACTTGGAATGTGCGCACGTTGTACAGAACAGGCGCAGTGTTTCACGTTGGCGGATGTACTCAAGAAGTACAAAGAAGATATTATTGCCTTACAGGAAATGCGATGGAAAGAGAATGGCGTAAGTAAATCAGAAAATTACGTCCTGTATTATAGCTGCCATCAAACGAGGCGTGAGTTTGGATGCGGTTTTATGGCTAACAGGAGAATATATGACTTATACAACAATAAATTTCTAAGCATATTTTAGGGCAGATGATCACCTAAAGGTTTTCTATGGCGGGCATCGGTTAGGATTCTACAGGCGGATTAAATCCTGAAGGACTTCTATACACAGAATATATCTATAGATAGAAGACTAACCAGGTTTTAGCCTTCTGTCCCAACCTTTAATTTATTATTTAGCAATTCAGTCCCTTGGTGGGTATGGAATTGAAATATGTCAATATAGGCCTGTAGGCATATGTTTGTAACAGGCAAAAGGAAAGGAGATAGACATAGAATAGAATCACTTTCTAAGTCGATTTACGCATGTCTGGTTGTCCGTCCGTCGGTCGGTCCGTCCTTGTATTTTTGTGAACAAAGTACAGGTCGCATTTATGAGCAGATTTGGATGAAATTTGGCATAGGTCACTTATTTGGCCCAAGTACGAACCCTATTGAAATTGGAAAAATCGGTTCAGATTTAGATATAGCTCACATATATATTATCGTCCGATTTGAGGTAAATGGGTCACCAAAGTCCCTCTATATCCTTCGATTTGCTCGAAATTTGGCACAGAGTACTGAATTAGGTCCATAAAAAGTTTCGAGAAAAGGTCTAGATATAGCTCCCAAATGTGTGTTAATGTAAATGGTGCACCAAAGTGAAAATCGGTTCAGATTTAGATATAGCTTCCATATATATGTTCGTTCGATTTAAGGTAAATGGTGTACCAAAGTCCCTTAATATCTTTCGGTTTGCGCGAAATTCGGCACAGCGTAATGAATTAGGTCTAGAATGATGTGTGGTAAGTTTTCTTGAAAATCGGTTCAGATTTAGATATAGCTCCCATATATATTTTCTTCCGATTTTAGGTAAATGGAGCACCAAAGTCCTTATATATCTTTCGATTTACACGAAATTTGGCATAGCGTACTGATTTAAGTCTAGAAAGATTTGTGTTAAATTTCGTGAAAATCGGTTCAGATTTAGATATAGCTCCCATATATATTTTCGTCCGATTTAAGGTAAATGGTGCACCAAAGTCCCTTAATATCTTTCGGTTTGCGCGAAATTTTGCATAGCGTACTTAATTAATTGTAGAAAGATGTGTGTTAAATATCGTGAAAATCGGTTCAGATTTAGATATAGCTCCCATATATATTTTCGTCCGATTTAATGTAAATGGTGCACCAAAGTACCTATATATCTTTCGATTTGCACGAAATTTGGCACAGCGTAATGAGTTAGGTGTAAAATGATGTGGGTTAAGTTTCCTGAAAATCGGTTCAGATTTAGATATCGCTCCCATATATATTTTCGTCCGATTTAAGGTAAATGGTGTACCAAAGTCCCTCAATATAATTCGGTTTTTTGCGAAATTTGGCACAGCGTAATGAATTAGGTCTAAAATGATCTGTGTTATGTTTCCTGAAATCTGTTCAGATTTAGATATAGCTTCTACATCTGACCAAATGAAAAATTTAATATCGGTTGCAGAATGACATGTGTATGGATCCAATTTCATTTTATTGGTACTTTAAAAATGCGTTGTTAGGATTCATCCGTTGAATATACCCAAAGTGTTGTGTGTATTCCCATATTCCCATTTTTTTACAAAAAATATTACGTATACTTAATTTTTTTGAAACATTTGAAATAACTCATACGCCGGCTGACCTCTATGGCCCGGCTAACGAAATTAAATATTGGTATTATAATAAATAAATTAAATAATTCAAAATTATTAAATACTAAATACCAACTGCTATATAATTCATAACAATAATTCCAAAATACATATTATTTTATATAAATTTAATTCCCGTCCAAAATAACTCAAATTTTTAGTCAAAAACAAGTGATTTGTTCCCATATGACATTTTCTTATAATTCCATAATTCTATAAAAATTGCTAATAAATAAAATAGAAAATAAAAAAAAATTGGCGCCAAAATATACAACGTCGGATTGTATTCTTTTGATATCGAACAACAACAACAACAACAGAACAGCATGGCGCAACAAATCATATTTTAGCCAGATGTGAATAAGACGCGTATAAAACCACAATAACAACAAATGATGAAAAGAAATCAAAGCACATAGAACAGCAACAACAACAAAAACAACAAAAGCGATCTTACCTCAGCTTCGTGTTCTCCTTCCAAATGCTGAAACAAATAGGCACCGCCGACACAATAGCACACCACCATCAGAATCAATGTCACGTGCGACACAATACAAGTGATGACTTTCCACGAAAAGCAGATGGCGGTGACACATCGTCCACGTTCCGGCTTGACAGGCTCAAGCATGTGCGGTGGCAATGAATGAGCACGGCGGCTCGACATTATGTCCGGTTAGCAAAATCAAATGCGGTAAATAGGTGAGTATATATATAAATATATATGTATATATAGATATGTGTGTCTAGGTGTATGTGTCTATATGAACGATCGATTTATGAGACCCGCTGATCAATTTATTTTCTTTCTTCTCCTGTCTGGTCTTTCACGTTTGTTTTTTGTGTGCGGTGTTCGACTTTGGCTGAAATTAAAAGAAATATTGATTTTCTGTTTAAATTATGAAATCAAATCAATTGCAGATGCGAATGTGGGTGTTCTCAATATCCGATTAATTAAAAATCAATTAATTTATTATGATTGTTTTTTTTTCTTGAATAAATTATTAATTGCAGACAGGGTAATTGATGTTGCAGACAGTCCACTTGACGAAATCGAAAATAAAATCAATTAATTTTGTATATATATAAATTTAGATAATAATTTGACATAATTAAAATATTATTTTTTCAGATTTTGGAAAATATTGTTTCACGGATATTTTTTATGATTATTATGAGTGGATTTTTTAAAGAATATTTTTCAAGGGTCATTACATGGGTGGATTTGAAGCATGGAATAAAAAAAGGCACAAGGCGTAGTTAAAAAAAAATAAATTAGGACACAGGGCTTAGATTAAAAAAATGAGGGAAACAAGGCACAAGGCTTGGAATTTTTAATAAATTTTAAATAATGTTTTTTTAGGCACCATAACAAGGCGAGGATTTTTTAAAGAATATGTTTTAGAGACCACAACAAAGGGTGATTTTTTTAAGGATCACAATTAGGCGCGGATTTTGAAAAGAATATTTTTTAGGGACCACAACAAGTCGTGAATTTTTTAAAGACTATTTTTTAGGGACCACAACAAGGCGTAGATTTTTTAAAGAAAACATTTTTGGGACCACAACAAGTCGTGGGTTTTATATACGCTTCAAGGCGTGGATTATTTTCAATAAAGTTTTTTTAGGGACCACAACAAGGCGTGAATTTTTTAAAGACTATTTTTTGGGACCACAAAAAGGCGTGGATTTTTTTAAAGATTTTTTTGGGACCACCACATGTCGTGGGTTTTTCATACCCTTCACCACACTGTGGTACAGGGTATTATGTCTTTGTGCATATGTTTGTAACAGGCAAAAGGAAACGAGATAGACACATGGTTCCTTTTGAGAATATGCATAGAATCACTTTCTGAGTCGATTTATGCATGTCCGTCTGTCCGTCCGTCCATGTATTTTTGTAAACAAAGTACAGGTCGCATTTATGATCCAATTTAGATGAAATTCGGTAGAATAGGTAAATAGTGCACCAAACTCCCAATATTGGTCTGATTAATACAAAATGTTGCACAGAGTATTGAACTAGATCTAGATTGATGTATGCCAAGATTGGTTGAAATCGGTTTAGATTTAGTAATAGCTCCCATATATATTTTCGTCCGATTTTAAGTAAATGCTGCACCAAACTCTCAATATTTGCCCGATTGAGACAAAATTTTGCAAAGAGTATTGAAGTTTGGTTGAAATCGGTTTAGATTTAGATATAGCTCCCATATATAGTTTCGTCCGATTTTAGGTAAATAGTGCACCAAACTCCCAATATTGGTCCGATTAATACAAAATTTTGCACAGAGTATTGATGTAGGTCTAGATTGATGTATGCTAAGTTTGGTTGAAATCCCTTCAGATTTAGATATAGCTCCCATATATAGTTTCGTGCGATTTTAGGTAAATGGTGCACCAAACTCCCAATATTGGTCCGATTAATACAAAATTTTGCACAGAGTATTGAAGTAGGTCTAGATTGATGTATGCTAAGTTTGGTTGAAATCCCTTCAGATTTAGATATAGCTCCAATATATAGTTTCGTCCGTTTTTAGGTAAATGGTGCACCAAACACCCAATATTGGTCCGATTAATACAAAATTTTGCACAGAGTATTGAAGTAGGTCTAAATTGATGTATGCCAAAATTGGTTGAAATCGTTTCAGATTTAGATTAGCCCCCATATGTAATTCGCCCGATTTTAGGTAAATGATGCACCAAACTCCCAATCTTGGTCCGATTGAGATAAAATTTTGTACTGAATTAAGTCCAGATTGATGTATGCGATGTTTTGTTGGAATTGGTTCAGATTTAGATATAGCTCCCATTTATATGATTTCGTCCGATTTTATGTAAATGGCGCACAGAGGAGTCTATGTTCTATATTCACGAAATTTTGCAGCGTGTATTAAATTTAGTCTAGAGGAGCCTCTCTCTACATGAAATATGGCATAGCGTATTGGATTGAAGACGTTTCAATTTTAAATATAGTTTCCATAGTAGTGTTTGGCGGGTTATTTGGGATACAATTTGTATTTTGTTTTTGCCATACATTCCCCACTAATAAATAGTTGTTTTTATAAAAACAACAAACTGGGATTAAGCCTGACTATTTTGCAAAAACAAAATCCAAACACTACTGAAGTTGTAGACGAGGCACGGTCATACTGTTTGGTTTATTGCTTTACCTAGCAATACCAACAACAACGTTATGTGCATTCATCACAACACATAGCAGTGGGAAGTGTATTGTATTTTCTGTAAATATATAATTTCATCCGATTTCATCAAAATGATGTACCAACTAAGTAAAGTTTGTCCGACAATGCCATACATTCCCCACTAATAAATAGTTGTTTTTTATAAAAACAACAAACTGGGATTAAGCCTGACTATTTTGCAAAAACAAAATATAGTTTCCATATATAATTTCATCCGATTTCATCAAAATAATGTACCAACTAAGTAAAGTTTGTCCGTTTAGGACGAATTGGTGCACATCGTACCAAATCGAATCTAGAATAACGTGTATTGGATTTAGTGTCGAGATAAATTTTGGATAGCGCATAGTGTTGCAGAATACCAAATGGTGGGTGCCAGGGTTGCTCAAACGTCTATTTATAATATAAATATATATATAGATCGTATACATATTTTGCTCGATGATTGACAATAAATTTTTCATAGATTTCAGATTGTATCTGTATGGGTTGTTTTATTTTAATTCATATATCTACAACTTCAGGCAGTTAATTTAGTTTGATTTCATTTCAATGGTCCTCCAAAGATGATATGTCTAATCTATCTAAAGGATATTGTACATATGAGTATTTCTTGTATGTACCCAAAGTGGTGAAGGATATCATGTAGTAGGCCCCCTACGACTTTTGAGCTTTCCTTATTAGTTTAAAGAATATTTTTAGGGACCACAACAAGGCGTAGATTTTTTTTTCAATATTTTTTTTATGGACCACAACAAGGCTTGGGGTCTCAGCAGAATATTTTGGAGGTGTTGCAACCGGCATAACAAATTTTATAATAATATCAAATTATATAGACCGCGGTAAATATGTTAGCCCTGCTCTTGTACCCGAATAAAATAAATGAACATAATTAATAGAATTTAATTGAAATCCATTTAATATTATTAATTATCAATTTCCATTATTTTCTTTTATTGAATCAAAAAATGTTTTTCTTTCTCAATTGTTTACAGTATGTGTATTTGTTATTAAACAATCTTCAATCTCTGGTATCAAATTTTTATCCATCAAAATATTTTTTGTTTTCAATATTTATTAGAATTTTTGTACATGATTAGTTTTGCCATAATAACAAATCAAAGTGATGATATATTAATGTCTAAATACTTCATGTGAAAACATGAAGGCTGGTGGCTGAAATATCAGAAACAACTCGTGCCAATGTAATATTTTTTTGTTTCCATTTTTTTATTGTGCAAAATTAATGGAAATTGTGCAAGTTTGGATGGATTTCCCTTTTAAGAAAATCCAAAGAAAAAACGCTATAATTTTATGTGTTGCTTAATATTGGAAAAGTGTATTCATGGCGATTTATTTTTTTGTTTAATTTCTTTTTCTTTTTGTTTACTTCATTCGGTGGGAAACAACAAAAACAAACAAACATTTTGGGGGGTAGGTAGGCACCATCACCGGTCGAAATCGTCATTGTCGGCGTGTGCTAGTTTTAGGTGAACAAAATATCCCCAAAATAAACAGAGAAGACGTTGAGGAAACACAGTGACGTTAAATAGGAGAATAAATAAATAAGAAAAAACTACATTTTCCGATATAAAAAAATGATTTGAGACTTTTAAAAATTTACATATTTTATAATTTTAAAAAGTTAAAGGAGACGTTGAGGAAGTATAGATCTTAAAAAATATTCTTTAACAATACACGCACTCTTTTCATCCCTTTAAAATCCACACCTTTTTCAGTCCTTAAAAATTGTTTTTTAAAAATGCACGCCTTTTTCAGGCCATAAAAAATATTCTTAAAAAAAATCCACGCCTTTTCAATCCTTAAACCAGTAAGGAAAACTATAAAATCGAACATAGCCGACTATATGATACCCTTCACCACTTTGGGTACAGAGAAGAGATGCTCATATGTACAATATCCTATAGATAGAATAGACATATCATCTTTGGAGGATCATTGAAATGGAATCTAACGAAATTAAAACAACCCATACAGATACAATCTGGAATCTATGAAAAATTTAATGTCAATCATCTAGCATAATATGTATAAGATCTATATATAAATGGACGTCCTTGAGCAACCGAGACATCCACCATTAGATATGCTGCAACACAGTGCGCTGTCCAAAATTTATCCAAATACACGTTATTCTTGGTTTGATTTGGTACGTTATACACTAATTTGTCCAAAGCGGACAAACTTTAGTTATTTGGTATATCATTTCGATGAAATCGGAACAAAATATTTATGGAAGCTATATTTAAACTTTAAACGACTTCAATCCAAAATGCTATGCAATATTTCATGTAAAGCGAACATACATAGGATTCTCCATTTGGCAAAATCAGACTAATGTATATATGTGAGCTATATTTAAATCTGAACCGATTTCAAACTTATCCAAATCATTCTAGACTAATTTCAATACACGCTACAAAATTTCATAAATATAGAACAAACATAGACTCCTCTTGGTGCGCCATTTACATAAAATCGAACAAAAATATATATGGGAGCTATATCTAAATCTGAATCGATTCCAACAAAACATCGCATACATCAATCTGGAGCTAATTCAGTACTATGTGCAAAATTTTGTTTTAATCAGACCAATATAGGGAGCTTGGTGCACCATTTACATGAAATCGAACGAAACTATATATGGGAGCTATATCTAAATCTGAAACGATTTCAACCAAACGTGTCATATATCAATCTAGACCTAACTTAATCCTCTGTGCAAAATTTTGTCTCAATCGGAGCAATGTTGGGAGTTTGGTGAACCATTTACCTAAAAATCGGACGAAACTATATATGGAAGCTATATCTAAATCTGAACCGATTTCAACCAAACTTGACATGTATCAATCTAGACCCAATTCAATCCTCTGTGCAAAATTTTGTCTCAATCGGAGCAATGTTGGGAGTTTGGTGCACCATTTACTTAAATGGGACGAAACTATATATGGGAGCTATATCTAAATCTGAACCGATTTCAACCAACCGTTGCATACATCAATCTAGACCTCATTCAATACTCTGTGCACAATTTTGTCTCAATCGGACCAATATAGGGAGTTTGGTGCACCACTTAACTAAATCTTAACCGATTTTCTCCAATCTCAATAGGGCTCGTCCTTGGGCCCAATAAGTGACATGGGCCCAAATAGTGACGGATCATAAATGCGACCTGTACTTTGTTGACAAAAATACATGGATGAACGGACATGCATAAATCGACTCAGAAAATTATTCTATGCATATTCTCAAAAGGAACCATGGGTCTATCTCGATTCCTTTTGCCTGTTACAAACATATGCACAAAGACATAATACCCTGTACCACAGTGTGGTGAAGGATATAAAAATCCACGCATTGGGTAAGTCTTTAAAAAATTCGATGTATTTAGACAAAATATATGAATATTTTAAATTTGAGTTTTTGGAAAATAATATTTAAATTTCAAATTGTCCTTAATTTCAAACATTTTATAGAGACATTCGTAAAATATTCTGCAAATTAAAACACAAATGTTTCACGGAATAATTTTTCTTTTAAATTTAACAATAATTATTAATTTCAATTTTTTCACTAATTTAAAATGTATTCCATAATAATTAATTTGAATATTATATATTTCAATATTTAATTTCTTCTAAACACTGTGTGTGTGTGCAGAGATTATTTTTGGGAATAAACGCGGCAGCAGATTATACACATGCACATGCATACATATATACACGCACTCGTTTGCATAAGGCGCTGACTGGACCGACAGACAGACACACAGAAATTAAACAAAACAAAAGAAAAAAACATTTAAAACATTGAACTAATTTTATGTATTTTTTGTGATTTTTTTCGTTACGCTGATTGGAGGATCATCTTTTTTCAATGGTTTTTGGCTTTTTTTAGTTTTATTAAAATTATTTGAAAAATGATTTATTTTTCCAAAAAAAAAACACAAACACACGGTCGAATTTTTTTCAGTGGCCTCCCATTTCATAATATTTCATTTTTCAAAACAGCAAAAAATTTTAATTGCCACTGAAAATTGTTGTGAACTGATGTCAAGGAATGCAGAAAATTACAATTTTGTCTGAAGATAATAATATTGCCTTTATTTCTATTTTTAAACCAATAATTACATTTTTTACGATTTTGTCAGCAGCCGATATTTTCCGATTTTTTTTTAATTATTTTCCTCGTTTTTTTTTTTGCTTTTTTACACAATAAAAACCATGGACCATCACATTTTGTCTACATTTCGTCACAACGCAACGAGAGACAAACACTTAATTGTGTGCGTGTGTTTGTTAAGGTAAAGAAAAAAGGGTTCAATGTTCTCCAACGATCGCGTGAGGTGCACTTTCTTTTTATCCGACACCGTAACGGCCACACAACTGATCTCTTACGCAGATCCTCGAGAACTGAAGATTTTTTTTATTCTCAAATTTATTTGTGGAAATCTCCCTCACGAGAAAGTTTTGCCGGAAAATTTGTTTTGTTTATAAGAATTTTCCTCGGTTTTTATTATGGAAAATGTGGAAACAAAATGTTCTCTTTTCTATAATTCTCATTTTAAGAGAACGAAATTGAAGTGCCTATAAATGCAGTTTTTTTATTCTCCAAATGGGAAATCAGTTTATAACTCTTCGAAAAAAATTATATGGCGAACCGAGAGGGTATAAACAGAATTCGGCATTTTTATTAATAAAAAATTATACACTTTAGAGCGGGCCACCTACAGCTGATAACTGAAATGAAAATTAGACTTTCCTTTTCCAAACCATTATTATAAAATGTGGATAATTTTAGTTCGCCAAAATATCCTGGCTTTATAAACATGATCCATCGACATTATTTCCATTCCATTTGGATAACAATTCCGACTTAAAGCCAAACTCCTTAAATATTTTAAAGAAAAGAAATCAAAATAACATTTTAACTGAACTTAACTTTTATTTTTGATAGATTTCATTTGTTTTTTGTTTACCAACAAGATATAAGGTTATTTTAAAAAATAACAGTATAAATTAAAAAGAAAGAAATTTATTTAAATAATGTATTGTAGTTTTTCTTTAATAAAATTATTGTTTTTAAAATGTCACCTATGTACAGATGTATAGAACTGTTAATGTGTATAGACCTTCATTAACAGTTCCCTAAATGCCCCATCATCACCATGCATAATAAATAGATAAGGTGACTTCGATGTTATTCACAGAATGTGCAAAATATGACTCTATGAAAAAATAAAATGCAGAAGTTCATTTGGTATTTAAAAAAGAAAAGCAAACGGTCTTATCATCAACGTAATTATCATTATCATCGGCAGCACAATAATAACAATAATAATTATGAACAACATTTCTTACAAAAAAGTCGCAAAATTGTAAGATAAATAAAAACAGAACGAAAAACAAAGTTTAGAAACTGGAATAAAGGCAGATTTGAATAGGAGGAGGTGATTTGTTGTTTTTTAAATAGGTGGTTGGTTGTTTGCTTTATAATTGATCCATGCTATTTTTTTCTTTACTGATACTTGGCTAATGTGGGCATTGGTACATAACCGCGACTGTCACGGAAAGTGGGTTTAACAAAACCACCAGCAGATCTGCAAAGATATAAATAAGCTATATAATTTGAAAATGTTTTATGAGTTTATTATTGCTTACCTCCAGAACAATGAACTACCACGCTTCAACTCATTTCTGGCCTGCAAATCATTGAAACAATCCACCCAACCAGAATATTGCGGCATAATTGGTGGCTGACCAGCCATAAGGCGGGAACCGGTAACTGCCATACATGTGGATACCACATTCAAAGGATATAAAATGCTGGAAAATGCAAACTAAAAAAACAAGATGGAGAGAAATTAGTTTCCAATAGCGTTTACCTTGTAGTCCTTATTACTTACCTGTGTAAAACCGGCAGTATATTGGCGACCCAATTTATCTTTAACGGCATATTTATTAATCAAAAATACCGTTGAACTGGTCAATACCAAACAGGCAACATCACACAATAGCTTGGGTACAAGGCCAGAAAAGAAACCGAAAATACCTTCGGTTTTGTAGATTTCGGCTATTGAACCCAAAATGGATTTGTATAAAGTTTCACGACCAATAAACTGGGCCATCATACGCACCGATATGACATGGAACGGATGTGATACAATAATGCCCGATACACTGAGCACAATATCGCGTTTAAGATTGTGTTTGAAATGGAAGTAACTGCAAAAAAAAATTGGAAGCCATTAAAATAATCAGCATCCTTTCGATTATGTTGTTACTTACAGCTCCTCATCACTTAGATTGACATCATCTTTGGTCTCTTCCAATGGTTTCAGGCCCAAACGATCGGCAATTTTTTCACTCAACACCATGCTGCAAATGGAACCCACCAGTTTGGGAGTTAGACCACGATAACAGCCATAGAAGCCATCAAGTTTACGTATATGACCAGCTATATAGGCAAGAAAACCACAATTACTCATTACGAACGGAATGACTTCATAAATTGTCTTGAACTTTTCATCCCTTACCATATTGAAAGATATTCGGCAACACCATTATGGGACGACCCAAAATTGAACGCCCAGGCACAGCAGCAATTGGCTCATAGCCCAATTGTATCAATACCTTGGAATACTCCAATGGATGTAGTGCGGCACTCACACCCAAACGCATACCAAAACGCATCCATTCGGCGACTTCTTTATTTTGTTGAGGATCTTCATTTTCGACCAAAGAAGGCATTTTGTGGCAAAGATTCGTTTTCTGATTCACAAAGAAAAATTCAACAAAATATTTATACCGCACGGAAGCTGGTCTTCTTCAAGATTCTAATGAATTCCTTTTTGGCAGGCTGATGGGTGGTTATTATGGAACACCGGCGGCCGATATATTCACAATTTTTTTGCGATAACAATTCGGTCAGCTGTCAAAAAGTCAGGTTATGCTAGGGTTACCCTGCCAATCACAATTCCAAGGTATATTTAATAAGGTAGCAAATAAATGTCAAAAATGTAATGTTGAACCAAAAAATTAAAAAAAAAATATATATAAATGAAAATCTCCGAATTTCCAAATACAACAACCGATGTTTGTTGTAGAATGTCGCCAATGCGGCTACCTTGTATATCTACCTTGCAAAATTCTTTTCATGACTACATTCGTTAGATTTCTTTCGGTTTGTGCATTTTGATATTGCACTTTCCAGAAAATGTAAAAATGTAGAAAATTAATTTCTTGTCATTTATTTTGTGAAGAAATCATAAAGGATGTTTTGGAAATATGTGTGGGGTACGTTCAGTGTTATAGCATATTTTTGCTGTACAGACTGTCATAAAGTAATTCTAATTCCATTTATTCTTTGAGGTAACGGAATACATTGATAACGAAGCCATTAGTCATGCAACCACTTTAGATGAAAATTACGCCTAATATACCAAAAATACCAGAAAATTGCTTAAAACAAAGTAGGGTATCTTTTGTCAACAAAGAGAAAATACACCTCTACCTTATGGGCTATAATGTCAGAATAAATAAAAATAAATGCATCAAGTCGTTCTGTTCATTTGACATATTTGTAATATTATATAAAAAATAAATAGAATGTCAGGTTTTCTGTTCAAAATCTAGTTGGAAATATGATTTATTGATTTATTTTATTTATGATTTTTCACAAATCATAAATTTCTTCTTACCAATGTTGTCAAATTCATTTTTAAACACTTTTTATCATTATAGGAAACTGAACATACGCCCTTTTATTTAGGTTGGGTATATTCAGTCACAGTTCAGTATGATGAAAATTTTATTATAAATATGTAAATTTTAAGGAGAATCAGTACGATTACGATATTGACCACAATGAAGTTTTATTATTTGTCGGAATTTTCATCTGAAATTATATGTATTTCGACTTGAATCATATTGAAGTGTTAACGCACGCCATACGCCCTTATGCAAAGAAAAGCGTATGTTCAGTGAAAAAACAGCTGATCTGCACATTGGCTGTCATATCAAAAATGTAAACAATGAGGGGAAACATGATGATTAACACACAACAGCGAACAGTATGTTTCGTTATTTATTGGAATTTTCATATATTGGAACAGGATTTCGGTGAGTTATTGAAATAAACCCCCATAGTTATAAATAAAACTTAATTTTAAACTCTTAGAGGAATCCAAAAAACCATAATAAAATCGGATCCATCATTTGTGGACTTGAAATCGGTGCAAGGATGTTTAGATGTGGCGCTGCAAGTATTTCGTCCGGTTAATGAAATCCAAACTGTGATATCAAGTAGGTGAGATGGTGTTTTTGCAATATATTGTCGGTTTCTTTATTGACTAAACTTTTTTTAAAGAACCGATGCTGGGGTACATGCCTTGCATTCAACACTGCATGTAGATTTACAACGTGCGGATGGTAGCCCATACATTGAGGAGACAATAACAGGGGTACTGAATCGCACCTTATATAAACAAGGTCTACCAATTCGATTAATAAATACACGCATTGTACCAGATACGTTTCATTGCCGTTACAGTGCTTTGGGCCGCACCTATTTGTATCGCATTGCTGTGGCCAAAAATGGCATAAAGGATTTGGATTGTCAAAATAAACATTTTGAATCATTCATACCCGTTGAGGAATTGGATCGCTGCCACTTTTTGCAGTAAGTTCGATAATTTTATAGTAGTTTGCCCAGACAACTAATACATTAGCCCCATAGACATTTATGTCTCATTGAAAAACACGCCTGTCGTCACTCATGTTAGATTGTATTTGTCGTTCCGTTTGCAACACCTCGATCAAATTTCCGAAGATCCCATTAAAATTAATTTGTATGCCTTTTACCATTTCTATTTCATCATTTTATTTTTTATGAAATGTTGACAATACCCTCAAAACACACCTGGTATGAAAGATTACAAATAGCGCCAGCATATGGTTTATAGGCCCGGGTACACGATGAAAATCAATAATTCATAAAATTGAAGAAAAATACAAAAACATTTAAAAGTGCAAGCCAAGCGTCAGAAGAGTACATCACGAGATCATCCTATGTTCACCGTGCGTCGTATCGATGAAATTAATATCAAACCTGGAAAACCTGCCTGTACTGGCGTCAATGCGCAATTAGCTGAAGAATTATACGATTATTGGGATATTGAAGTTAAAGGCAAATCATTTCTGTATAAACAAGTACGGCGTATTGTGGGTACCCTCATCGCATTGGCCACAAATCGTATTAATGAAAAATGCATTTATGAAATGTTGACAATACCCTCAAAACACACCTGGGATCCTAGATTACAAATAGCGCCAGCATATGGTTTATATTTGGCCCGGGTACATTATAATGAGGATGATATGAAAATCAATAATACATCATAAAATTGAAGAAAAATACAAAAATGAGTTTCCTTGAAGCTTTGCAAGCCAAGCGTAATAAATTAAAAAACTGTGAAACCATTGTTACAACCGCAACGGGGGAGCGTTTTAAAGAAAATACAACAACACAAGAAAAAGAAAAACTGGATGATAAGTCAGCTTCCATGAGCTATGGTTTTGTAGTTGATACTAAACCCGATTTTATACCAGCTTGTATTTTAGAAAATCAACTCTATTTAGGTTCTCAGGATTCTGTAACTTTGGAAAATATTTTAGAATATAAATTAACACATATTTTAAGTATTGGTATTGAGTGTCCTTTAAAGCAATTACCAAATGGTATTGAAAATTTATTTATAAATTGTTTAGATTTACCAGAAAGTTCATTAACAAATGGTGTGTTAGACAAGGCTTTTAATTTTATCGATAAAGCATTAAATAATGGAGGATGTGTTTTGATCCATTGTAATGCTGGTGTATCAAGATCTGCCAGTGTTGTCATAGCTTATCTGATGAAATATAAAAATATGGATTTTGAAATTGCCCATGGATATGTGAAAACCCGACGGGAATGCATTCAACCAAATGCAGGTTTTTTAAAACAATTACGTAGTCTTAAGTAAGCTGTTATATGTTTTGCTACTAATATTTTTTTGTATTGTATAAATAAAAATAAATGTTTTCACAATAAAATTGATCGTTTATATCGAAAATAATGTCGCCTAGAAGTAGGCTTTATTTTAAATAGAAATTAGGAGTGGTAATAAAATTAAATATAAATTATATTATTAAAAGGCATAGTTTTTTGGAAGTAAATTTATTTAAAGATCACCTCTTCGGAGCGTGGATTTTTTAAGAATATTTTAGGGACCACAACAAGTCATGTAATTAAAAAAAATTTTACTTGTATTCTTTAAGAATATTTTTCAGGGACCTTTACAATGCGTGGATTTTTTAAGGAATATTTTTGGGACCTATACATTTTGGGAAAGAGACCACTACAAGGAGTGGATTATTTAAAAAATATTTGTCAGGGACCTCAACAAGGCGTGAATTTATTAAAGAATATTTGTCAGGGATCATTACATGGCGTGGGGTTTTTAAAGAAATATTTTTCAGGGACCTCTAAAAGGCTTGAATATTTTCAGAATATTTTTCAGGGACCTCAACAAGGCGTGGAGGGATATTTTTACAAGGATTCGTGTTTTTTAAGTAATTATAAAATCATATCATTGAATAATTAATCATTAAAAAAAAACACATTTGTTAAAAATGCTTAACCGACCTCTACCAACAATAAAACCAAATGGAAAGAAATCCAAAAGAAACCCCTATCGGGAAACATTTCTTGGGCGCCAATTTCAAAGGATCCTTGAAAGTGGTATTCCCATACAAAAGGCTTTAAATGTTCTACTCCTGGGCTATGCTGTTGGAATTTTTCTCACAATTTTATGGTATAATTATAGCTCCACGTATCCTGTGAATACAGCGCGTTGGTTGGCCCTTATTATCCTCGGATTTGTTGTTATATTCTTATCCTACAGTAAGGATATAAGGTAAGTGATCAATCTTAATGCAAAAAAAAATAATAATAATAATTTGATTTCTATGTAGATGCATTGCTTCCCTCTCCATACCGATATTATGCAGTTCCAAAGGACGTTCCCTTATAATTGCTTTGGCGTTTTTTATGGCGGCCACTGGACCCACCCTGAATCTGTTTCGTAACATCGATGTCATGGTCTCGAGTCTAAGTTGTGGACAAATGCAGCTGAAACAGGCGTTGGGAGAAATGTTGGATACCCTAAAGAAACCTTTGGTTGCCATAAAGGATGCCATTCATAATGCGGTGAATGATTTGAGAAATGTTTTGAAAAAGGTACAACATGTATTGCTTACAATACAGGCCTTGATTGTAATGATATGTAAGTTTATGAAGAGAAATATTCCAATTCGAATCATCTTCGTCCCTTTTAATTGTCCCACCTCCCAACAGTGGCCACAATGAAAAATGCTTTCGCATGGCTGCGAAATATCGTTCGAATGTGTAATAAAGAATTTGGAACACCCTATGAGAGGTGTATGAAAATTGCCCATGATGCAATCAGGGATTGTGAAATGAAATTGGGTGCCGTGAAGTCTCTATGTCAAGTCACTCAGCTGTTTGCCATGCTGTGCTATGCCACAAAGGTGGTCGATGTCATTTGTGTTCTGGTGGTATTTGTCAATGAATCCATAATAGAAACAGTAATGGAAAGTAGGTTTTTCCAAAAATGTATTAATCCGGAAAATCGATTTTTTTGTTGGTTATCCTTACAGGACTAAAAATGTTCACCGATGAAGTCAAAAGGCTATTTGATGTCTCCATAACATTTGATCATGATTTCTATTTTAAGACCACCACATCCAGGGAATTGGATGACATCAAGAAGGATATCATGTTCGATATTCATAGTCGTATGAAAACATTCGTTTTGATTTTTGGCTGGTTGGATATGCTGAGCCTGTTTATGTTTGCTTTGATTGTATTTAAGTATGTAACATTTTTAGTTTTATTTATTAATAATTTTTGTTTTTTTTTTTAACAGAGCCATCTATTTTCGTTTGAAATATTTACACAATTTTAGTTATCAGAATTATTATATAACAAAGGACTTTGTTGAAATTGACGAAAATCGTAAAAATTTACATATGGAAACGGCATTGCCTTTGTCGTTCATGGAGAAAATGAAATATCCTTGGGTATGTTGAATCCACGTTAAATACACTAACGATTCGAAAAAATTATATATTAAGAAAAAATTACGCTGGGGTCCCTGAAAAATATTTTAAAAATCCACAATTCCATTGTTGTGGTTTCTGAAAAAATATTTTTTTAAACCCACGACTTTTGTGGTTCTGGAAAAATGTACTTCGAAATATCCCCCTTTTTTATTTTCAGCTAACCGATTGTCGATTAACCCATCAAGAATGGCTGGCCATATCACGCTCCGGTGTCTTTTTGGCAATTTCAAGTATCCAATTGTTCTGCATATGTTTTGCCGATTATAGTCTCTTTTGGTTACTGGCCATGATATCCTATTATGGCCACAAAGAAAAGGGATTTACAAGTAAGATTAAAATAATATTAAAAATTCAAATAATTATTTGAAAGACATATTTCCTTGCAGTTCCCCCATACATCACCGTCGAAATTGAAGGTGGTGGTTTTGTTGGCGAAATATTTGGTGGTATTGTACATGCATTTGAACCTATATCTCAAAATTATACAATGGATCCCCACAACTGTCTACCACTGCCACACAGACCAAATTATGGCCAATATTATTTGATTGGAATGCTGCTTGCATTTGCATGGATGTTTCTATTTTGTCAACCCTATGGTTTACGGCTGCGGCATATTGTAATGCGTCTTTATTATCCCGATGTTGCAAGGCAGAGGGCAATATGGTTATATAATCGGATTCTATTGAAACGAAGTAAGTGGGAAATCGATAGATGTGGGACCAAGTAAAAAAGAAATTTATTAATTTTTCAGTTAGTTTCTTTAAGCTAGCCCGTCGCAAAGCCCGAATGACATTTACCAAAAATAAAACAGGCGATAACTTTTCTCTGTTGGATTGGTTGAGAGTGAAAACTGAAGGGTAAGTATGAAAAAAATTGGGACCGATATCACAAAGTCGGAAAAATTCAATTTTTACTAAGAATTCAATTTTTTTATTAAAACATTACATTAACTTTAGTCAAAAATTATTTACTTTTTACAGATATTGGTTATTTCGATTAATATTGGGACATCGGAAAGCAGATAAATGTTTGTTATGTGGTACACCATTAAATGAGTAAGTTCTAGAAGAAATTTCGCACTTTATTGAAAAAATATGTTTAAAAACTTGATTGATATGTTCTTGTAAAAAAATCCCGATCTATATGATATTCCTAAAAAATGGAATGGGAATGTATGGCATTGTCCGCCGAGGGGCAAGTCAGGGAAGACTATAGTTTCGGATCTTGCCACTGATCATCATCAGTTCCCTTAGTTTTTTTGGGGATATTCTAACAAAAATGGTATCCCAATTAATCCGCCAACACTACTGAAATTCCTAAAAAATATACATTTTTTAAATTAAGTGCTTTAGATTTTTAGTTTAGAAATATTTTTGCAAAATCCATATTTCTTCAGAAAATGTACATCTTGGTTTCGGATATTTGCTTTGAAACAACTGAGTATTTGTCACTCTCTCTCATGGCCATATGACATTTGAAAAGCTCTTCAACTCAGTTTATCGCTAATTGTTATTCTCGTCGGATGTGTCGGTTGCGTCGTCTTTATGTTTTATTAAATTTAAGTTATAAAATTGATAAAATTCTTTTTGAAAATGTGAAAAACTATAAATGATATATTTCTAAATAATACTATCAACGTTTTTTCCCAATGAAATTGTGTATAATTCGTAGAATTGATCTTCTAAAATAGTTTGCAATTTTTTTGGCGAGTGTGTTCAGTGTGTGCTATAAAGTAGAAAAGAAGAGTGCAAGTGAAATTATGTTTATTGCTTCCTGTTCCTCTTCCAAAAGATTATTTGTCGCTCTCGATCTCATTGCCATATGACATTTCACAAGCTCTCCAACTCTGTTTATCCCATTTTTTTAGTGGTGAGTGTGTTCAGTGTGTGCTATAAAAGAGAGATCAGGTGAAATTGGTTTTTTTGCTTCCTTTTCCTTTTCATATTAAATTGCAGAGATTTTGCCTCTCTCTCTCTCTCATTGTAAGTCATTTGAAAAGCTCTCATAAACAATTTTTCGGTATTTTTGATTCTCTTTGGTTTGTCGTTTCTGTGATTTATGGAATTTAAGTGATAAAATGAATATAAATCTCCAAGAAAATGTGAAATGTATATAAATGATATCTTTGCTAATAATATTATGTAAATTTTCATATAATAAAAGATAGAGTAAATCAGCGCCTTAGTCGTTTAAAAATATATGCCTCCTTTTGCGAGTGTGATGCAAAGAGGAAGAGCATTATTACTCATTCTCTCGTACTCATTGTTTGTCATTTAAAAAGCTCCCATAATCAGTTTATCGTTTTTTTTTTTAATTTTAGCTGGAAGAATCGGTTGGTTACTTCATCTCAGTGTTTTTATTGAATTCATAAAATTTTAAAAATTGTTAAATAAAACATTTCTCAATGTAAATAAGAAAATTTGTGTTAAGATAAGTGTGAACAATTTAAAGAATTGGTCGTTTCAAAATATATGCACATGTGACCATTCATTGCTCCTTCTTCGTTTTTAAGGAGTATGTTCAGTGTGTGTGCTATGAAAAGAAGAGAGCCCTGAGCAAAACACAAAGAACGTACGTATTAATAAAATGTTAGTCATTAAATTATTTTTAGCTATGTTTAAAATATTTAATTATTTTTTATACATTTCTTTTGCCATAGAAAAATATTATTTATGAATTATAAGGGCATTAATATTTTTAAAATTCCAAATTTATTAGAGCGTATTTATTTTTTTGTTATTTTTTTTTCAAAAATCAATAAAACTTTTATTCAAAATACATCAATATGTTTTAAGACAATATATAAGCGTTTTTAAAACCTACACAACTATGTTGTCAGGGTATTATAGCATTGTGCAGCCCCAAGAGTTTGTATCGTCGCGAAATATTGGTTGTAGACCCACCTTTAAGTATACCGATCGTCATATCTCGACTAGCTGAGTCGATCTACACATGTGTGTTCCCCCGTCCGTCTGTCCATTATAATTATAAAGACGATGCAGGCCACAGTTATGGACCAATCTTCAGGACAGTTTGCATGTGGAATGGGTTCTGGCCAATGAAAACCCATATTGTTTTTGGTAAAGATCGGTTAATATTTAGGGGATGAAATGGACCAAAAACTTTATTTTTTCTGATTTTCTGTTCGCTCCAGAGGCCGCAATTATGGCCCAAATATCGTGAATTTTTACATGGAAAATGGGATCGGGCCAAAAATAAGCATATCTGTTTTGATAAATATGGGTCAATATTTAGCGGATGAAATGGACCCTGACTTTTGTGCGAAAATGACAAAATTTGTATTCTATAGCGTACATATTTACCCCTGAATGACATAGACCCGAGATGTTGATAGTATATTCAAGAGGAGTGGTTGGCCTTTAAATTGGTACCAGTTGTCGTATTTGTCGTAATTGCCTTCCAATTGTTACCAATTGTCGGATGTACTCGGATGTGGGAGTTACACTTAAATATTTACAGGTGCTTACGTATCCAGATATTATTCAGTAACCCATTACCACACTTGAGGCGAAAATATAGCGTGGTCAAGAACAACGCCTATAATTTTCGGTGATGATCAGATAATAATTTAGGGATGATATGGATCGAAAACTTATTTTGTTGTGTTTTTTTCGAGTCAATCTTAGGCCACAATTGAAAGCCGAACATCCCAACACAACCCACAGTGACCTCTAGTTGGGAAATATTGACCAAGCTCAGAATATAGATCCACACAAAGTTAGATTTTCGTGGAAGTTGTGTAGGGTATCATATGGTCGGCTCCGCTCACAGGTTTAAAATTGATATGTTTTTTAAATTAATTTTTTAAAGTATTTTTTTTCGAGAACTTTTTTAAAAAAATTTTACAAGAAAATATCCTGGCGTGGACTTTTTAAAACCAGAAAGGAAAGTTGTAAAGTCGGACGGGGTCGACTATATGATACCATTCACCACAATGGGTATATTCTATTACCCTAAAATATGTGATATTTACAATGGGTATATTAAACGCAAAATTTAATGTCAAAATATATATGGGATCGAAAGATATATATATCATTAACCGAAAATATATAGACCCGATTTTCACGAAACTTAGCACACATCCTTATAGACTTTATTCAGTACGCTATGCCAAATTTCGTGGAAATCAAAAAAAAAAAATATATAGGGACTTTGAAGCACTATTTTTACTAAATCGGACGAAACTATATATGGAACCTATATCTAAATCTGGACCGATATTCGCGAAAATTGACAGAAATCACTCTAGGCTCAATTAAGTACGTTATGCAAAATTTCGTGCAAATCGAAAGATATGTAGGGATTTTGGTACACCATTTACATTTAATCGGACGAAACTATATATGGGAGCTATATCTAAATCTGGACCGATTTTCACGAAACTTGGCAGACATCATTCTAGGCTCAATTCAGTACGTTATGCCAAATTCCCGGCAAATCGAAAGATTTATAGAGACTTTGGTGCACCATTTACATTAAATCGGACTTACATATACAGTGGTGGTCGCAGAATTAAAACATTTACTATGGTAAACATTTTTTGATAAGCCCTCGATTCGTTTGAAGTATTTTTGAAATTTTTTTAATTCAGAACACTTCGATATACTGCACTTAAGAGATTTAGTGTGAAAATGGAAAATTACTGCATGCAATTTTTCCATAAATAACGGTTTTTATGAAAATACATCGACTACAAAGTGGCCATATAATTAAAACATTGTGTGATTTTTTACTTTAATGCATTTTTTGAAAATATTTTTAAAAAAAGCTCTTTAATTTAGTTAACTTATGTAAACTAAGAACCGAAAAAATCATTTACTGAAAAAAAATTTTGAAAAAATCTGTAAAATCTATCAAAATTGCCAAAAATTTGTACAGTACACCTTACATTCAGAAAATAACCCTTATTATAGAAAATAAAGGTCCGAATGCACCAGAAATTGCTAGAATTAGTAGAAAACAATAAATAATTCTCAAAATAAATAAATATTTAAATTAAAAACTGAAAAAATGGGAATTAACCTAAAAGAACGATTCGATTTCGATAGCCTTTATTGAAGAAGGCCGGAATATTTTTGCAGTATGTGAGGAAATATCGATTGATATTGGCATTTATTATTTCAAATCGATTGTTCGAGTAGTACAGAATATATTTTATCAAAAAATATATCAGTCACAACAGAATGAACAGAAATCAACGCCTATATTGACGAGTAAAAGTTTCTGGCACACAGCAGCACGTTTGATGGTTAACTCTTGACACTTAAAATCTATTGAACATGACAATATTTTTCCAAAATAATATTTTTTGAATAGAATAATGTCCATTTAATCTATTTTAGCCTAAAAGAAATAAAAATTTTACAATTTGACAAATATTTAAAGTCTTGTGTTGAGCATCAAAAATGCTGTTGTGTGGCAGAAACTTTTACTCGTCAACATAGGCGTCGATCTCTGTTCATTCTGTTGTGACTGATATATTTTTTGATAAAATATATTCTGTACTACTCGAACAATCGATTTGATATAATAAATGCCAATATCAATCGATATTTCCTCACATACTGCAAAAATATTCCGGCCTTCTTCAATAAAGGCTATCGAAATCGAATCGTTCTTTTAGGTTAATTCCCATTTCTTCAGTTTTTAATTTAAATATTTATTTATTTTGAGAATTATACTACTAATTCTAGCAATTTCTGGTGCATTCGGACCTTTATTTTCTATAATAAGGGTTATTTTCTGAATGTAAGGTGTACTGTATAAATTTTTGGCAATTTTGATAGATTTTACAGATTTTTTCAAAATTTTTTTTCTGTAAATGATTTTTTCGGTTCTTAGTTTACATAATTTAACTAAATTAAAGAGCTTTTTTTAAAAATATTTTCAAAAAATGCATTAAAGTAAAAAATCACACAATGTTTTAATTATATGGCCACTTTGTAGTCGATGTATTTTCATAAAAACCGTTATTTATGGAAAAATTGCATGCAGTAATTTTCCATTTTCACACTAAATCTCTTAAGTACAGTATATCGAAGTGTTCTGAATTAAAAAATTTTCAAAAATACTTCAAACGAATCGAGGGCTGATCAAAAAATGTTTACCACAGTAAATGTTTTAATTCTGTGACCACCACTGTATATGGAAGCTATATCTAAATCTAGACCGATTTTCACGAAACTTGACAGACATCACTCTAGGCTCAAGTCAGTACATTATGCCAAATTTCCTGCAAATCGAACAATATATAGGGACTTTGGTGCACTATTTACATAAAATCGGACAAACCTATATATGGGAGCTATATCTAAATCTGGACCGATTTCCAATTTCAATAGGGTTCGTCCTTGGGCCAAATAAGTGAACTGTGCTAAATTTCATACAAATCGGATCATAAATGCGACCTGTACTTTGTTCACAAAAATACATGGACGGACAGATGAACATGCATGAAATCGGCTCAAAAAGTGATTCTATGCATATCCTCAAAAGGAACCATGGGTCTATCTCGTTTCCTTTTGCCTGTTACAAACATATGCACAAAGACATAATACCCCGTACCACAGTGTGGTGAAGGGTATAAATATGTCTAAAAGAAAATATCAAGGGCTGGAATTTTTAAATATATTTTTTTTAAGAAAAGGCCCGGAATTTTAATAATGTTACGTATTTTTAAGATAATTTTAAAGCTTTTAATGTTAGGTATTATTTTATAAATATTTAAACCATTCATGAAAACATGTACTGGAATACAATTTTTTTAAACCATGGATTTTTATGAACCCTTTCTATTTATTTCAGAAGCTCCCTTGTAAAATGTGAAACCATTGCTTGCAAGGCTGTCTATTGCAAAAAATGTTTTCAAGAATCAAATAATATTTGTTGTATATGCCACAATCCTGTTGATTATGGAGACTTTAGCGATTTATCGGAAGTGGAGTAAGTATTTAATTTGAAATTTTATAAATTGTTTTTTTTTTTAATATAAATATTTCTAAATATTTAAAGAGATTCTTCGGATGATCCGAATGTCATACATTTTGATGAAACCGATGGTGAATGTTTGATTAAAAAATGGAATGAATATATTGATTGAATAACTGGAAGATTTAAATGCAGTAATTTTAATAAATATATAAATTAAATATTTTCGAATGTGTTCCATAAGTCAAAAAATGTCACTTAGGATTAAGAACATGATATATTTAAAGTCTTCCATCAGGAAATGAGATATGCAAGATCCGATAATTTGCAAAATTTCTTTAATTCTGAAAATATAGTTGAAGTCACGTTGGCAAATTTGCAATAATCCATGACAAATGACAACATATGTGTAGATTTTGGAACAGATCGATATTATCTAATTCAGCAATTCTCCTTAATTTCAACAGAAGTCAAATTTAGGCAATATGTTAGAATTTTAAAATTTTCCAAATTTCAATTCCAAAAAAAAAAACTATTAAAAATATCCCCTTTCAAACCACATCTTTTGTTCTCATCACATAACATCGACTAATCGTCCGAAATGAAATGAACCAATTTAAAGTAATTAGAAATGAATGCCACGCCAAGTGGGATCAAAAACAGCTGTCATTGGCACGTTTTTATACCCTTCACCACACTGTGGTACAGGGTATTATGTCTTTGTGCATATGTTTGTAACAGGCAAAAATAATCGAGATAGACCCATGGTTCCTTTTGAGAATATACATAGAATCACTTTCTGAATCGATTTATGCATGTCCGTCCGTCCGTCCGTCTGTCCGTCTGTCCGTCTGTTGGTGTTAAATTGTAAACAAAGTACAGGTCGCATTTATGATCCGATTTGGATGAAATTTGGCACAGCTCATTTGTTTGGCCCAAGGACGAACCCTATTGAAATTGGGAAAAATCGGCTCAGATTTAGATATAGCTCCCATATATATTTTTGCCCGATTTACGGACTTTAGACCCTGAAAATCTTTCGATTTGCACGAAATTTGGCATAGCGCACTGACTTGAGCCACGAAAGATGTGTGCCAAGTTTCGTGAAAATCGGTTCAGATTTATATATAGCTCCCATATATAGTTTCGCCCGATTTACGGACTTTAGACCCTGAAAATCTTTCGATTTGCACGAGCAAATTTGGCATAGCGTACTGAATTGAGCCACGAAAGATGTGTGCCAAGTTTCGTGAAAATCGGTTCAGATTTAGATATAGCTCCCATATATAGTTTCGGCCGATTTTTGGTAAATGGCGTACCCAAGTCCCTATATATCTTTCGATTTGCACGAAATTTGGCATAGCGCACTGAATTAAGTCTAGAATGATGTGTGCAAAGTTTCGTGAAAATCGGTTCAGATTTAGATATAGCTCCCGTATATATCTTCCTCCGATTTAAGGTAAATGGTGTACCAAAGTACTTATATATCTTTCGATTTGCATGAAATTTGGCATAACGTACTGAATTGAGGCTAGAATGATGTCTGCCCAGTTTCGCGAAAATCGGTCCAGATTTAGATATAGCTCCCATATATAGTTTCGTCCGATTTCATGTTAATGGTGCCCCAAAGTCCCTATATATCTTTCGATTTGCAGGAAATTTGGCATAACGTACTGAATTGAGCCTAGAATGATGTCTGCCCAGTTTCGAGAAAATCGGCCCAGATTCAGATATAGTTTCGTCCGATTTCATGTAAATGGTGCACCAAAGTCCCTATATCCTTCGATATATTTGCATAGAGCTTCCATATATATTTTCGCCCGATTTTAAGTAAATTGGACATCAAACTCTTCATGCTAGTCAGGTTGACATCAAATTTTGCACAACGTACAAAATTGAGCATAGAATTACGTAGTTGCGTTTTCTAGAAGTACAGACATAGCCCAACAGATAACCTATTTATATTTGATTGAAGTCGATTTATATAACTTATGGATATATAGGTAGATTCACATTTAGATAAATATCACATATTTTATTTCATCCAATTTCATGTTAATAGTCCTGTTTACTATATCCATAGTGGTGAAGGGTATCATATAGTCGGCCCCGTCCGACTTTACTACTTTCCTTACTGGTTTCTTTTCTCTTTGTTCTCTCCGTTCCCTCCATTGAACGGAAAATCGCTGGTAAACAATTTTTCAAACGGAAATGCAAAGTGTTGTAATTGCAACAAAAACAGTAGCACCAGCTACAATGCCTGGCTGAGGATGGTGATGATACATCCGACCGACTGTCAGTCAACAACAACAACAGTTAACACTTTAGCAGGGCATGTTTGTCAAACAAATAATTCCGGTAAATGGATGCTAGTTGAAGCTATGCAGCTGATCTGACAAAGGGATGTATCAAATGCCAGAATCCAAATAGTTTTAAATTGCCGTTGCTGTAGCAACACAATTAAAGCGTGATTTCTATGGAGGTACAGTGGTGTGGATTTAAAAAAAAACGTCAAGTAGCCAAATGGGCGTGGATTTTTTTAAAAATATGTTTTGAAGCTGCTACCACACTGTGGTACGGGGTATTATGTCTTTGTGCATATGTTTGTAACAGGCACAAGGAATCGAGATAGACCCATGGTTCCTTTTGAGAATATGCATAGAATCACTTTCTGAGTCGATTTACGCATGACCGTCCGTCCATGTAGTTTTGTGAACAAAGTACAGGTTGCATTTATGATCCGATTTAAATGAAATTTGGCACATGTCACTTATTTGGTCCAAGGAAGAATCCTATTGAAATTGGAGAAAATCGGTTCAAATTTAGATATAGCTCCCATATATAGTTTCGTCCGATTTTTTTGTAAATGGAGCACCATACTTCCGATGGAGAGTATGCTCAGAGTATTGAAATAGGCCCAGATTGATGTGCGCGAAGTTCTTTTGAAATGGGTTTGGATTTAGATATAGTTCTCATATATAGTTTCGTCCGATTTTATGTAAATGGAGCACCAAACTCCCAATATTTCTGCGATTGAGACGAAATTTTGCACAGAGTATTGAATTAGGCCCTGATTGATGTGTGCGAAGTTCTTTTGAAATCGGTTCAGATTTAGATATAGCTCCCATATATAGTTTCGTCCGATTTTAAGTAATTGGTGCACCAAACTCCCAATATTTGTCGGATTGGGACAAAATTTTGCACAGAGTATTGAATTATGCTCAGATTGATGTGAGCCAAATGTTGTTGGAATCGGTTCAGATTTAGATATAGCTCCCATATATAGTTTCGTCCGATTTTAGGTAAATGGTGCACCAAACTCCCAATATTTGTCCGATTGAGACAACATTATGCACAGAGTATTTAATTAGGCCCAGATTGATGTGTGCGAAGTTTTTTTTGAAATCGGTTCAGATTTATATATAGCTCCCATATATAGTTTCGTCCGATTTTAAGTAAATGGTGCACCAAACTCCCAATATTTGTCCGATTGGGACAAAATTTTGCAGAGAGTGTTAAATTAGGCCCAGATTGATGTATGCCAAGTTTTGTTGAAATCGGTTCAGATTTAGATATAGCTCCCATATATAGTTTCGCCCGATTTTATGCAAATGGAGCACCAAACTCCCAATATTTCTCCGATTGGGTCAAAATTTTGCACAGAGTACTGAATTAGGTCTAGATTAATACATGCCAAGTTTTGTTGAAATCGGTTTAGATTTAGATATAGCTCCCATATATAGTTTCGCCCGATTTTAGGTAAATGGTGCACCAAACTCCCAATATTTGTCCCATTGAGACAACATTTTGCACAAAGTACTGAATTAGGCCCAGATTGATGTGTGCGAAGTTCTTTTGAAATCGTTTCAGATTTAGATATAGCTCCCACATGTATTGTTTCGTCCGATTTTAGGTAAATGGCGCACCAAACTCCCAATATTTGTCCCATTGAGACAAAATTTGCACAGAGAAATGAATCAGGCCAAGATTGATGTATGCCAAATTTTGTTGAAATCGACTCAGATTTATATGTAGCTCCCATATATAGTTTCGCCCAATTTTATGTACTCCCAATATTTGTCCGATTGCACAGAGTACTGAGTTAGGTCTAGATGCCTTGTAAATGCCTTGTTAACCTCCAAGTGAGGCACCAGCGAAATTCTTATGCAGTTTATTTCGTTGGTCAGCTAAGTACTTCGTTTCGTTATAAGAGACATTTGGGTATGACAGGTTTTTTGTATAGAAGCAATAAATAGCTTCTGGGGAGAATATCCCAACAAAAAACTAAGGGAACTGATGAGGATCAGTGGTGTGATGCGAAAATATAGTCTTCCCTGCCTTACCCCTCGGCGAACAATGCTATACTTTCCCCACTAATAAATAGTTGTTTTTTTTTCAAAAACAAAATACAAATGGTATACCAAATGAACCGCCAACACTACTGAATTTTTTTCAAGCTACCAAAGTAGGCGTGGATTTTTCCTAAAAATATTTTTTCTAGCTACCAAAATAGGCGTGGATTTTTTCTAAAAATAATTTTTCAAGCTACCAAAATAGGCGTGAATTTTTCCTAAAAATATTTTTTCTAGCTACCAAAATAGGCGTGGATTTTTTCTAAAAATATTTTTTCAAGCTACCAAAATAGGCGTGGATTTTTTCTAAAAATATTTTTTCAAGCTACCAAAATAGGCGTGGATTTTTTCTAAAAATATTTTTTCAAGCTACCAAAATAGGCGTGGATTTTTTCTAAAAATATTTTTTCAAGCTACCAAAATAGGCGTGGATTTTTTCTAAAAATATTTTTTCAAGCTACCAAAATAGGCGTGGATTTTTTCTAAAAATATTTTTTCAAGCTACCAAAATAGGCGTGGATTTTTTCTAAAAATATTTTTTCAAGCTACCAAAATAGGCGTGGATTTTTTCTAAAAATATTTTTTCAAGCTACCAAAATAGGCGTGGATTTTTTCTAAAAATATTTTTTCAAGCTACCAAAATAGGCGTGGATTTTTTCTAAAAATATTTTTTCAAGCTACCAAAATAGGCGTGGATTTTTTCTAAAAATATTTTTTCAAGCTACCAAAATAGGCGTGGATTTTTTCTAAAAATATTTTTTCAAGCTACCAAAATAGGCGTGGATTTTTTCTAAAAATATTTTTTCAAGCTACCAAAATA